ACTCCAGCTACACGAGCTGGAAACACTTCACGCAAGTCGAGCTGCCCGAGATTCACAGAATTTACAGAAACTGTTACATTTTTGTGATTTATATCATTATCGGGACGATACATGTCTTATATCGGGATATGAGATTTTGGTCATATTGCACAGCCCTATGCATGTGTACATATGTCTCTTCCAGAGTAAAGAAAAGTTTAGGAATTGCATCCTAATTACATGATGTGTTCACTAGTATTCTGAGTCTTAATGATTCAGATAACCATTTTTAAATGCTCATCCCAATTATAATGCTATTATTAAAAAGACTAAATCAATCAAGCTTTATTGCGCGTGTTCATATAGGTCAGCTAAAAGGCCTAGGTAGCAGAACATGTTCTCTTTTTTAGCTGAATTGAGAAGCTGGCTGAGCATTATAACAGAGTGTACCACATCTTATTTCACACGACTTTTTAAAATTACGTTTTATTTACCAGAGGACCCATGACCCATCTTGTGTCCTGAGGTCCCAGGTGAGGAATCCAGGTTGGCCAGAGAGCTGTGTTGATCTGCTTCCTTGGACTCATCCTCTGCGATAACCTCCCATCCTGATAACTAGGTTAAGGGTTGGCACACCTTCTGCAGATTCCTTTAACCTTCAAAGGGCCTAAACTAAAGTAAAAGACTTGTGGTCTTTTGAATAATCCTACTTCAAAAAAAGACCTGAAGGGTCAAATTAGATGCAGAGAAACTGTCTCAGTTTTAACATTCATTAGTGCCATGTTTATCTCCCCAGCTGTATGCAAGCACTAAAATTAAAATAAGAATCTTCACTTCACTGTGACCAACTAAGCAATGATAATCATCAGTCCATCTCAATTAACACACAGCAAGCAGCCACTCAAGGCAGCCTCGCTATGCTCTTATTCTGTCGGGCAAGTTTAGGGTTTCATTAAAGCACTAATAGCTTCCTCGCACAGTGCATATCTCTCGCAAAGGCATCAGGGAAAGTCAAATCAGGTGAGCCATGTAACCATGCAGGAGTCAGGAAAGCCACTTGGGCCTAACTTCAACATATTTTACATGGTAAATTAAACAGAGATTATGTTTGACCTAAAAGACAAAGAGTGGTAATTAAGTGATGCTTCTGAAAAACTGACTAGATTTCACGTTACAAGTAATGGCCAGCTGATTCTGCCTTACTCTGAAGTACTTTTAAAGATGTAATACACACTATTGTTTTGATGGTTTAAATGCACCATTACTATTGTCCTAAGATAGACGTGCAGAATGTTTAGGTGTCAAAAAGGATACGGACGCTGACAGCGTCAGCATCTGTGCTCAGCAATCTCTTCACTTCCTTTTCCACATCAGGAGATTCAATGTACTGCAAGAGACAGAGAGATCGAGTTACTTGTAGTATTAGCTGCATC